AATATATATATATGCACACACATAAGGTATGGTTTTCACTTTTGCTTATAACTATAACCAATAATCCAGAATAGATACATTCCTTTGGTGAAAGAAAAAAAAAACTATAAATGACGTAAAAATCTAGATACTTGTTTTTATTTGTATCTTACATTAATGTATATACTATAATAACATAAGAGATGAATCTTGTTGTAAAAAATATTTTAGTGTTAAAACTCAGAATATAATATTAAAGGTTTGTATGTTATTTTTTTATTTGTATTCTATATCAGCAGATAAGTTAGAAGAACATGAAGTTTAAATGCTTAAGTCAAATTTAGATTATATGTTAAAAGCCTCCAGTTTTTTTATTACTTATACTCGACACCAAAGTACAAGATAGAAAGGTATTAAGAATGATATTTAACAAGCTTTGTGTTTACTTCAAAAAAAAAATCTGGTTCCCAGCTATGATGTCCTTGTTACAATCAAACAAGAAAAAGTAGGAACTGCCTTTACTTCTTATATTTTCCTTGTGGCAAGAAAATATTTGAAGTACATTTTTGTTTTGGAACTGTTCAGGCTAATATTTAACCACATTACCAAAAAATTGTTGTTTTTAAATGTAGGAAATAAAACATGCATACAGTTACCCATAATAAGATAATGTATGTACATCTGTTTTATTTTCTAAATTTTTTTCATGACATGTCTAATATCAATTTGCAGAGAGATCATGTTACAAGAAAGTGTTTAAAAAACACATGAGTACCTTTTGTTTTAACAAAACAACATGTATATGTCCTTTAACATTTGATGCTTCTTGAAGTACTATTTCAGTATCTTTAGGTTCTCAGAGAGATCATGTTACAAGAAAGTGTTTAAAAAACACATGAGTACCTTTTGTTTTAACAAAACAACATGTATATGTCCTTTAACATTTGATGCTTCTTGAAGTACTATTTCAGTATCTTTAGGTTCTCGTTTTAAAACTGCAAATTAAATAGTAGTGGAAATATGCATTTTTTTCCTTTATCTTAAAGTGAAACTACATAATGAAGTAGATAGTTATCAGTATTTGTTTCTTCTATGCTACAATAAATTCAAATCCTGATCTCAGGTTTCGTTTATTACTCTACAGCTTAGCATCAGTTTTAATCCTTATGATCTTACACAGTAAACAAACAAATAACATTTGTTTAGCTACTTGTATTGATTATCAGTACTGTATTTATTATATGTACTTCTCACACCACTCTACAAGAACTTAACCTTTCATCACATTAAGATTGTAGTAATTATATGTACTTCTCACACCACTCTACAAGAACTTAACCTTTCATCACATTAAGATTGTAATGATTATATGTACTTCTCACACCACTCTACAAGAACTTAACCTTTCAACACATTCAGATTGTGGTGATTATATGTACTTCTCACACCACTCTACAAGAACTTAACCTTTCAACACATTCAGATTGTGGTGATTATATGTACTTCTCACACCACTCTACAAGAACTTAACCATTCATTACATTAAGATTGTAGTGATTATATGTATTTCTCACACCACTCTACAAGAACTTAACCTTTCATCACATTAAGACTGCAGTGATTATATGTACTTCTCACACCACTCTACAAGAATTTAACCTTTCATTACATTAAGATTGTAGTGATTATATGTACTTCTCACACCACCCTACAAGAACTTAACCTTTCATCACATTAAGATTGTAGTGATTATATGTACTTCTCACACCACTCTACAAGAACTTAACCTTTCATGACATTAAGATTGTAGTGATTATATGTACTTCTCACACCACTATCTAGGAAGAATATAATAAAACAATCGCTATTTTTAAGTTAGAACAATCTTTTCTTTAAAACAGCAGGTTTTAGCAATATGATGTAACTTTGTTAACAAGGTTTTATAACCAACTCTAAATAATAACATTGGTATTTTGTTACAATCTTACAAAATGATCTTACTGCAAAGTCTGTACACATTTATATGGTCTTGTTTGTTACTATGACATGCTTGTAAAATAGTTTAGTTTAAGCTTAGTTACCACAAAATGAGTTCAGTATGACAAGATGAAAAAGCTTGTATCATCAGATAACCATAATGGTCTTGCAGTGTACTGAAAATAAAAAAAATTAATGAAATAAGTATTTCAAACACACAACACACAATGTGAAAAAAAAATCTCACACTGCTGATGTAAACTGCTCAATTTTTAACTTTTCTTTATATTTGAATAGATCCACTCATCTGTTCATTCACTTATACACCTTTTTGTCTCTTAATTTTCTGTTTGATTCAATTCTTTGTTGCTAAAGGTTAACATTTTTATTTATTCAATGTACATAAGACTAAGAAAAATTAATTATAGGTTTGCTATGACAAAAGAATTCAGTTAATGAGGGAGGGTGGTAATGCAAAACATAGAATATCATAGACTGAGTTTTGTTGTTTGCACCTCTAGTGTAATACTCTTAAATTATAATTTGTCCCTTCTCTCCTCCCCTATCTCTGTATATATATATTCATATTTATCTCTGCACCTGTATATTCATTCATTTATGTAACTTTCCTTCATTAAATAAATACTTGAGGTCATTCTGAGTTACTGAAGATTTCTACTGATGCTTTGTTATTTATATTTTTATTCATTCAAAACAAATAAAGCTGTATGAAATTAATAGTGGATTTCCCACCAGAAAGTGTTAACAGTAAACATGAAAAGTCACAAGACTGACATTCTGTAGTAAAAATGTGTTTGATATAACTACCTTAAACTTAAACAAAAACCATACAGAAAGGCAACACTTGCAAAACCAATGTATGTAAGAAAAGCTACTCCAACTAATATGAGAGAATGAAAATATAACGTGCATTTTAATAATTTTATTATGGTGAAAACCAAACCAAAACGTGTCTAGCACTAATAAAACCAAACAACTTCTTGGTGTCAGTTACAAGTATATTAGTATTTTCCATCACAGCTAAGAACACTATAATAGTTACTATTGCATACTATTAGCACATTTACTTACTATGTATGTAACAAATAGGTGACAGTACAAAAGAAATTAATAGTACGACAAGTTAAAAAGTCATTCCAAATCTACATTAGACCTAAATCATTTCTGTCACTTTCACATCATGCTCATGTTTTTGATTTGTTTAAATGTACCTATTTGGTCAAAGAGGTACAAAAAAAGCTTGAAAGTTTCTAGTTTTAATACAAACATTTTAAATGAAAGTCAAGCATGCCTTCTATTTAAAAACATGCACTGAAAATCAGGCATCAAGAAAGTTTCTCATTTGAAGTGACAAAGAGCCACAGGTTAATATTTAGTCAGTCATTGGTGGACTTTTAAATTTCATTAACAGGTGACAGGAGATTGACTGCCATCATTTAAAGGGAATAATGTTTATTGAACTAAAGAAATAAACTACTTTAGAATGAGCCTATTAAGATACTTTTAAACTTAATTAGTTTGAAAAACTAACAAATAAATATTTTGTCAATAAACAAGAAATTGAGTTTCAGATTTAAAAAATTATGTGTATTAGTAACTGTCATCTTGCATTGTAAAGATAAAAACAATAAACAATTAATTTTATACAACCCAATATATATATATATAGTGTTTAACTTTCACTTATTTTATTTTATGACATTGAGTTAAAAAGGCATAAATACACATACATACATTCAATACCTGCAAGCTTTAAGTCTGAAAACGTTCTATAAATTTATCAATTAAAAGCTGACCTGTAAGGAATGTGCTGCTAAATAACAGGTGCAAAACTTTCAAATAAACATGTGACTTGGCAACAATGTGAACTAAACATTTTACTTCTTTGCTGGCTGAATTTTTTTTCTTTGTCATTTATTCACTAAATTTCATTTATTTTTGATGAATTCACTTGAAAGCATTCTGTTTGAGCTAGTAGATTGTAGTGTTGTGTAGTAAAATAACACAACTCTGAATAATTTACTTACAAACAAACTCAGTAATTGGGTCATTTTCTCCTTCATTGCGCATTCCACCTGTAATTTCTTCATTTTCCACCAGGGGAAGAAACAGTTGTATAAATTCTGGTGTGTAGGGAGCAGCAATAATGTCTAATACCTATTAAACAATCAGTAATAATCAATATATTTTATTACTACGTCAAAATAAAAGTCAAACTTATTTTAAGGTGAACAGTTTATAAGACCCAATTATTAATTTTCTAGAATTTTATCTTCCAAAAAGTTAAATATCTCATTAGTTATAAAAATGCAATATTTTTTCTAACAACCTAGATAAATCTTAATATATATGCAACTGTTTAGTTTTTAAAATGTTACACAAACAACTTTTTTAAACTACAAAACACTTACTAAAATTCATAATGCTAAGAAAATTCTGAAAAAGAATTCAACTAAAAATATTTTTACCTCTGTAACAAAGTACCGAATTAGTGAAACATCAGTATCTTGTCGGTGCCAACAGGTCTTGATGTAATTTATCACAGGGAAAACACAGCCTCTACTCAGTAAGTGGACCATACGGTCTAAAAGCATCTTTTTCATTTCTAGCTACATATGAAATATTAAAAAATACTATCATTCTCCCTACAGTAATTTAAAAAAAAGAAAACCAGCAGTTTCTTCAAAACTACATTATTGAGTGCAAGAATGTTTAGTTGAAATATAATTAACAATAAACAGCTATGTATTATATTGAACATAATAAGAGATACGAACAAGAAGGGGGCCTTATGGCTCTTTTGGGGGAAGAGAAACTTGAAAGCAGATGTACTTAAGAAACACAACAAACAAATTAATACTTTTTTGTTACTCAGTTCATTTTAACACAAAACAACTATTTATAGATACAATTTTAATAGGACAGCTGTAGCTTAAGTCATAATCCAGTGCAAAGCCGTATGTAAAGTTTATGCATACACAACTGTTATGTAGGTCTGGAGTTCACCTTGCTCTAGTACCCAAGCTTATATAAACACATCACATTATGCAGAGTTGGCATCTTAGCATCATCTTCCTCCTTGATCTGCACATAGACTAGATGCATACCTTCTTATCTGTTGTACACAACTGAATAAAACAAATTAAATAAAGTAAAATCATCTGTGCATAATAATACCTCTTAAACAAAAAACTGAACTCGTCAGTAGCATTAAAGTCACAGATCTACATCAGATAGTTGCAGATTAAAGGTTTTTTCCCTGTTTCATTCTTAACTAGCTTACTGTCATCTCATTGGTTCTTAATTAGTGTATTTCTTTTTAGCTTTTCTACTGTCTCCTACTGGAATTTTTTTTCCTCATATTTTTTTAGAAAATTAAAAACAAAATCTACCATTTTTCTATGGAGTATGGATGCATCTACTTGGAAGGGTCTCAAAACATCTTAAGAGAATGGAATAGCAAACATTAAAAACATCAATTTAACTTTCTCACTCCCAGTTAGTTTATCAAAAATAGAAATTATTGTCTTTTCATAATAATTTTTTCATGTCAGGTATCAACCTGTCACTGCACTTATTCCGACTGACTGGAGTCAGCCCTGTAACAGGTGGATCAAAACTGCTCAAAATACTCCAAATCAGGCCTCAAAAGAATCTTACATAAGGTGAAAATCTCTTTAATTTGAAAAATGTTATAAAAAGAACCAAAACCTCTTAGTAGATGTTTAATTCATTGTTAAACCCCCAGCAGAGTTTTAGATTTCTATCAGAAATTATACACAAGTTCTATTCTTTCTACATCTGTAATACTAAAGGATTGTACATGTTTTACTAAAAACAAATCAAGCTTGTCCATTGGAAAAAGTCCAATTTGTCAAGACAGAAATATAAACATTGTATAAATCTTTAATAAAAGTGCTTTAAACTGAGAAAAGCTGAAATTTGTGTATTATTCTGCAAGAAAAATATTCTACATTTATAAATAAGCCAATAACTTAAATCTCAAATCACAGGGTACTTTACTCTTCAGAGAATATACTTAATCAAATATACACAAACAAAATACATTATAACATGCTTTATTCCTCACAAAAGTACATCAGTTTTTTATTGGATAAAAAAAACAGCATGAAAATTACAGGATCTTTGCTTTTAATCAAGTATATGTTTGTATGAACAATTTCCCTTTCATGCATAGTAAAACAAATAGACTGTTGCCATTATTTTCAGATGGGCACTCTCTCGATCTGACAAAAGTACAACTAATTTAAAAGTTTTCAGAGAAAATTAAATAATGGTTTTTGTCAACAATTTTTGCCATGTTTTGGTTGATTAATAAAACAAAAAGCATAAAAAAATAATTCACTACACTTATTTGGTTACAGATGTCTATTAACATATATCATTATTTGTTGTTTAAGTGTATTTTTGGACATTTGACTATCGTCTGGTCTTTATATATATAGCACAATTTACTGCAGGAACACTAATGCTGCAGAACAGAATTAATGCTGCTGCTGACAGAGCTTGGTATCTGGATGCAGCATCCTTCCAAACTCTCACTGTCATGAGTTCTGGGTTTTCTGGATATGGTTCTGCTATGTATCGACTGAATTCTGAGGACAGAGCATCAGTTGTTACATTTTCTGCAAGGGAAAAACGTTTCCTTGTAGTTGCCAAACTCGTGACTCTTAGCCGACTTCAGGAAAGGATCCAGCACACTTGCTTGCATCCATAGCATCTTTACAGAGTAGACATATTCCTTTCAATTGTTCTTTTCCATTTTTCTCTCAGGAGTATGCAGAATTCATTAATGGATTGTCTCACATGAGCAGCATATTTACTTGACAGCATTCCTAACAAAACACTACATGTTTCTGAATCATCTAACAGGAACAAAAGCTGGGAATTTCATTCCATTTTCAATTTCAAGTTTGGCACAATCTTCATTGTACAGTTGTTTTAACTTGTAGGCATATTTAAGCAAGGCACCAACTTTGATGACCACTTTTCTAACATCTGACATTGCAGAGACGCTAAGGGCAGTGTCAACAGAAACATGAATTAAATATGCCATACCTTTGACACGCAGGAGTTTAATGATACTTTCATCAACACGTACATCATTATTCATCATTTGCACATACTTTGCAGAATCAGATACAATGGCATTAACATCTGATCACTTATTCTCATATTGGTGTGATGATTTTGCCAGCATGAAAGCAGTGCTGATACTGTTTGAGACAGCAACATTGGGAACGTCTACTAATGCAATTTCATGATCCACTTTTACGCTGTTTTAATATGACACTAGTATATTGACTGAGAACTTTTCAAGTACATCTGAGAACTCATCAACAATCAGACTTACTTTTTACATTTTACTTACTCTATGATTTCTCTTATAAGTTTCTGAAAAACTTCTGGCAAATACTTTTCTTCTAAAGTAGCATATTTTGGCATTTAGTTGCTGGACAACATTTCTTCATAAACTCTGCTAAAGGTCCATTAGCCACATGTAAACTGAAATCAGCTTTGTAAAGTGCTCCAAAAACTGAGTGAATTTACACTCTGACCTTCTGCTTCTACCTACCTGCCTGACCTCCTTTTCCATTAAAGTTGGCTGCAATATTGTAGTACTCCTGTGGTATGGTTTCCTTTGTCAGTCAAATAATATTTATATTACACAATATTTGCATACAACAGTTGCTTCTTTAGGACCAGCACCACCATCTCAACAAAAATCCTTGAAATCGGAATATTCATTTAACTAGTCAACAGGTACTTTTGCATTTTCTGTCCATTATTGAAGACTTGTGCTTATTATTAATAAAATTATTATTCAGAAATCAATTAAAATATACCTTGCTTATTGCACTATTACACTGAACTAAACAACGTCTACATTCTCTTTCCTTTTCTCTCAGTACCTCAAATGCATCTGTGCTTTTTTTATCAATCTCCTGCTGTTGTTTCCTTTCTCCCATTTCTCTGTTCCAATCAATTTTCATTATTTTGTAGCAGAGTTGCAGATATTAACTGCATTTCAGAATATACGGAAAACTGAAACTTAACTTTTTAACGCCATGCTGTTTTACAGAGAGAAAAGATTGACCATGAAATCTATACAAGGAACACAAAACAGAGAGACTGGGAAAAGAAACAAAAAATGTAAAGCTGTAATACTTTAATAATTATAAAATAAAAATATATAAGAATTTGTATTTTTCTAACAGGCAAGTAAATTTACCTTACTCAATTCCAACTCTTTATTGTTGTGTTGGAATAACAGAAAACTGCATATGTGTTTATTCATATACAGTCTTCTGCCTATTCAGGGAGTTTTCAGGTTTAACCTGAATTCAGAAAAAAGTATTCAAGGTGGAAAAATCTGATAAAACATAACAATCAGAACACTTAATAGTAAATAAAATAATTAGTACTGTAATGATGAACTATTAACTGTAAGTGACATGTGACTTGTAACAAAAACAAGGAATTAATTAACTGGTTTTAGAACATAAGCTCCACCAAAAGTAAATATCTAAGGCTAATATTTTATAAGAAATGCAGAAACATCTGTATAAAACATTCTAGCAATAACAGTAAAACCTTAGGTTTTTAAAATAAAACTTATTCAAGCAATGAAAAAAGGCTATGAAACAAATAGTTAAAATAAATTCTAAATGACCATGCTTTTCTGAACAAAGCACTAACAAATACTTCGTCATTTATAGCCCATTAAGCACAATTCAACTTTTCCCAACTTCAGTTCAATAACATGTGATAAAGCCTTGCATCTTTCTCCCAAATACTATGCTTTGGCCAGAGCTGAAAACTCCTCCAGCACATACCCAAGTCCAAATAATATTTATTGCACATAGTGTTTCAACTTGCCAAGAAAATAACAAGTCAACTTTTACTTCATATCTGCTGAAAACACATCATGACAGGTTCCTATGTTAACCAGGCATAGATTCATACTCATATTTTTACTGAGACCACTCTCATATTGTTGCATGCATTAACATTGTTGTATATCTTGTGACTTTCCTACATAACTGCATTTCATTATTTTCAAGTGTCTCTCCAGTTTACTGCTGCAATTTTACATGACAAATAACTTTTCACAGAGCCGGAAACCTTGTTAAAACTTTATTTCAATGTGGTGTTCAGCATGTAAGTTTACTTGCACAATAGCATATAACAACATTTAAATGATATTTAAGATATCATGAGTCTAACTGCCATGCATGAAATAGTCAAATATTTGCCATTAAAGGAAGCCCATCAGGTTATACCTGATTATGTAACCTGTTATTGATATATAAATGAACTACGCCATTGCTCCCACATTATATGTTTTTATTGACAACAAACCATACCACTGTGTTTAGCTTAGTTTTGTGTAAAATGATCTCTCAGATTTGTGGCTCGTAAAATAGGAAATATGTCGACTTGGTAACACTGATCATGCAGAAGATACAACTATTATGTGTTCTGATTTTTATCTTTTATCAGATTTTTCCACCTTGAATACTTTTTTCTGAATTCAGGTTAAACCTGAAAACTCCCTGAATAGGCAGAAGACTGTATATGAATAAACACATATGCTGTTTTCATTTAGAACTCTATCATATTGTTGCCATTTGAATTGGAATATCTCTTCTTTCTTTTTATTAACACATTTTACACAATAACTGATAAAGAATTTAGGCTAGAAAGTATTTTTGAAGTGTTTATGTTGAAGATGAAATTGGGAAAATTCTGAAACTTTTATGTTCTTTATCCTACCAACAATTTTATGATTTGATTTTTGCCAATGAGTCTTGAACTTATGCAAGTAATACCATTTCAACAATAGACATGTGACACCTGTATCTTCTGCATGATCACTGTTACCAAGTCGACATATTTCCTATTTTACGAGCCACAAATCTGAGAGATCATTTTTCATGAAACTAAGCTAAACACAGTGGTATGGTTTGTTGTCAATAAAAAACATATAATGTGGGAGCAATGCAAGTAGACTTTCAAATACTCCTCCAAGACTTTCTGATGAAAACAACTAATTTAATAGGTTTTTCAGTACTGAAAAATTTGTAAACAACATTCCATGAGTTCCCAGAATTTCCATGTTCAAAAAAACCTTGATATTAAGATTTTATAACAATATAATAAACTGAAGAAACTAATCAATCTGTACATCGAAAATGTTAAAGATAGGAATATTAATTTGGTAAGTCTAAAATATAAGAAAAACTTGAATTTACACAAAACAATTATATATTAAAGTATGCATGTGATACTTTTCAGCCACCACCACTTTCACAATTTGGCCAGAATAATATCTTAATGCTGTGAAGATATACAATAATCACTTTTAAACATTAAGTGTTGGAGTAAGGTAAATTTTTCAATAGCTTGACATGACAATCATCTACACACCTTCCATGCAGCTTCAAAATGGAATTATGGCTTAAACTACAAATCACCTGAAAGTTTAACTCCAAAGGCTAAATTTCTACAAGGAGGCTACTGAGTAACAAAAAAAGGATTAATTTTTGGTTTAGCACTGTTCATTAACTGCATTTACTTCGAATCCCAAAGTAATGTCACTTTGTGCTTTTTCTAGCTCTTCATAATTTCAGTTTTCTAAGTTTCTAAAACTCAATACTGTATAAGACTGACATAATGTTTCGCATACCTGTACTAACACATCCAGTTCTTCTTGAGGAGATTCAAACAAACGAATTAATAAATCTAACACTTTCTGGTGGAGAGTTGTATGACAGGTGGACACCTAAATGAATCACAGGAGATCAAATCAACTATCTCTGCTGGAAGAATAACTTTTTCTAAACTAAGTGGCATATTTTTGCTGATTATCTTGAAATTACATATACATCTTACCTCATCCAACAGCTGCAAGTGAAGTGGAGTATGCTCGGTGGACAACTTAAAATAGCTTTTCTCAGACACAGTGTAGTCCACCCATCTCACTACACCTAACGCAACCACCGGAAACCTGAAGATTTGTAAACAGAACAATTGAATTATTTCATTAATATATATACATAAAATCATAAGAATATACATTTTTGTTTCACTGAAATGACTGTTACTCCAATAACATATAATATGATGAATCTGAAAAATTAAAAATATTTAAGAATAATACGAATTTCTACTTTTACATTTTACGAGGCCTTACAGAAAGATGTTTATTACCTAATACTAAATATGTTAAGATGTATTTAACAGACTTATTACACAAATTTAAATTTATATGGTAAATACTAGGCTTTTTACCAGACTCTTCAGGATTTGACAAATGATCCATTTGTAATTAGAAAATACAGCATGAAAACTTACCAAAGATACACAAAAACATAAACTGTAACAACTCATCTATTACAAGTTCCATAACTTAAGGGTATATATATAGCTTAGAAAAATTCACTTTTTGACCAGAACTAAAACAGGTTTATTTATTCAAAAAAACAAATTCCTGTCATATTTTGTGTCGTTACTTATTTAAATGGAACCAAACAATCTTCTAAGTTCACAGTTTATTTGAACTCTGATGATTAAATAAAACCTGAAAGCTAAGAGTAGAAACATAATTCTCAAGACCTAAAAAGTATCTGAATGTCAGAAGAAAATAAGCTGCACAATAGCATGCCCACTCTCTTCAATAAATCTTTCTTGATATTTTTCAGTCTATCAATCATTCTCTCTTATAAAATCTAAATATTTATTTATGTGATTCTTCATAATGTCAATGTTATTCAATGTGTGAAAAATAATGTATACTCTGGAAAAAAAGACACCTACAGATTAAATTTATAATACAATGTACACAGTTGTATACAGTAAAAACAAAAATAACTACATTACAGTAAAACGTATCCATAATATCTTGTAAAGCCTACAACATGATGTAATTCACAACAAAAAAAAGTATGACAAAAGAATATTCGACTCTAGACAGCTTAAGGGTTTATATTTTTAATGGTTAAACATAACTAAAATAAAATCTAAATAAGTTAATATTTACGACTTTTAGTGTGAATGTCCTAAACTATCCTAACCTGATACACTGATATAGTGTGTTAAGTTCAGCTATAAGTTCAGACGATCCTTTCTTTTCATTGCAGATCATATGGACCTTTTCAACAGCTTGAGTTGTAGCTTTGAGCTCGTCTTTGTTGAGGGTTTTCCTTGTTCCCTTCAAAGAGACAAAAAATTCTTCTTATAAAACAACAATTTCTACAAATAATTACATAACAAATGTTAATAGAAAAGTTTCAACTAAGCAAAAGAGCACACTAAAGTCAATGTAATGTAAAATTTTACTGTTATCAGAGAGGCTATGTTTAGTTTTAACTGCACTATGTTTCCTTCACGAGTACCCACATAACATGTAAATTTAATTTCAATTGATCACCTCTAGATTTCTTGAAAGAAAAAAATCATTAAGTAATTTCTTCAAAGATACGTTAAGACAGTAATCCATCTGACTCATAAGAACAATGTAACTAGCAAAATACAACATTTATGTGGTTCTTAATATTCAACTAAGAAATTTGACCAAAAAAATCAAAACAAGAAATTTGAAATGCTAGAACTGCATAAAATGAAAGCTGAAGTATTGTGGACACATCTCAAGATATAAAAATCTACAGAAAGACATCTTTTGTGGTAAGGTGGATGAAAAGATACAGAGGCAGGCAGAATATGGATGGATGACTCAAAGAATGCACACAGATGGGGCTTGGAAAATGCTGGAGTGCAGCATGGGAAAGAAAGAGCAGAGAAGAATGATTGCTTACCTTTGTGAAGGAAATGAACTAAATAACTTGACTTATACTGCCCAATCCTTGTTAGCTTTGGCCAGTTAGTTTGAGTTTATTTATTGTTTACTTGAAACCCAAGCAAATTTTTCTACCAGCTACTACCGTTTTTTTGTAACAAGCTCCTGCTAATATAGACCCAATATTATGTGAATTAATATACAAAAGGGATTTTAGTAGTTTATTTCCTTGCTGGTCTTTGTAGAACCAGTAAGTAAGTAAGAGGGAAAAACCACGGCATTTTTGTAACAGAAAACGTATTTCAAATTCAGGAATAAAAACTCCTATTAAAAACTTATTAACCCTATTTATGTTTTTAAAGGTGCTTATAAAAAACAAACGTGCATTTTAGACACACATACACACAAACATGTTTTAATATTTCAATACTTATCTAAAACTTGAAACAGGAAAACTATGTGAAGTTTGAAGGGAAATGCCCTTTCTTCAACAAGGTACAAAATTCCAAACTCAAGTTTGATTAAAATTACACTTTTCAAGGTTTAAAACAAAGAGGTTATATAGTGTACTACATATGTGCCCAGGGCAGTGAATATTAATAAGCTAAAGTAAAAAAAAAACATTGTGAAAAGCACATTAACAATTTGTATATGTTTATTTAGCATCTTTATTTTACCTAAAATATATAATAATTAGCTTCTCTGTGTAATCTTACAGAAATATGCTAATTATATAAAGCATATAACTATATTTCAAATAACTCAAATTTCTGAAATCAAGCAAATAATAAATCAAAAGCAAGTCAAACAAAAACACAGTTGCAATAAAAAAAAATATTGATGACAAAAATGTATACTCTTACAAATGTTTATCTTCTTTTAATTTGCTAGAGTTAACTTTAAAATATCCAACAAGCCAAAAACACCTATATCTTGTTTTTAATCAAATTCCTTTTATGCATTTATATCACGGCTACTGGATTAAGTATGGCATTAAATATTAAGAAATAACTGTATTGTATTGTCTACAGTCAAAATCTGTTTCATTCCTCTTTTCTAAATATATACAATTGTCTGTTTTCCAAATTCTGCAAATAGTACAGATTAATTATCTGGGAAATAAAGACCCTTATGTCCAACCATCACAAATTATACACAAATAATTACTGTTTGTTAGGTTTTAACTTTTGTAGCATATTGCTGATTCTGAAACATGACAAATACTGATTGACAGAATAAACAATTATTGGCTTAAAGCAAGATGAAAAATAAAATTTATAATCACCTTTTTATATGTTTCATATACACTGGCAGCATAAGCAAGTAAATAAATATACTTAGGTTTGTGGTCTGGATTAAGTTTAGTTCCAGGCTTGAACAGGGAATCCATTAACAGATCTAAAAAATAGTGAATTGTTAGTTCCAACAAAATTTTAATAGAGTACCAGTATTAATACTATCTGACTTTCAAATATAAAAAATACAGGGTTAATGATAAAAAAATACACGAGTATAATCTAAATACAAGATATTTCAATACATAAAACCACTGTAATATATTTTCTACAATCATGTTACTTTTATTAATTCTATATTAAAAAACAAAACACTTCTTTGTACTGCCACAGTACGTTGTTTTCTAATAAATCATTACATTCACTGGATATTCATATAAAGAAAGAAGCATTTGTTAAAAATCATGTGCATACTTATTCCAGAATTCTTAGAATGCATGCCTTTTCCAGAACTCATGTTCCAGGTCAAGATTTCAAAAGTAAAAAATCAGAAATAGGTACTTGGAGACTTTTATATGAAATATTACAATATTAGTTTTTATTCTATGTAAGTAACAATGTTAAAAACCTCCTTTTCTGTGCTAATTATATGCACAAAAAGTGAAACAGATTTTACCTGTTCTCACACTGAGGGATGATGAGAATAGCAATTAGAAAAAGGAATTTTTACTGTAAACATGAAATGAAAACTATAGGAACTAAGTTCAAATATAGCCCATTGAGAGAATATGCCTAAACAGTAAAATAAGTTTCTGGTTACTAACAATACATGTGTGTGGTAAGAAACATACTTTAAAAATCAGGAAAAATGGTAAATGACAAATATAGTTAACTATAAAATGTCTAAGAAAGACTTGATATTTAACTTTACTAATTAACATTTTCCTGGAATTTTGTTGAAACTTGAAAAAAAAGGCTAGAATTATATCCACAGTGACATTTACTTAAAGAAAGTAAAATATCAGTATATTTTAGTCAACAACATGAGTTAAGGTAATTTGGAAGACCTGTTGTTCTTTTAATAATTTTGAAGTTAGTGTTGATAATGCGAGTATAAAATCAAATGCTGCTGACAAAATGTATTCAGTATCAAAACTCTAATGTTATCTAGCTTGTCAAGTTATAGCATTGTATATCATAGTCAGTAACCAAATCTAATACTAAAACAAAATGCTTACTTTGACAAAACAAGTTAATGGATTAAAAAAATAGATAGCAAATTTACAAAAAAAATAATTATAAATATAAAACTGTCAAATTAATTTATAATTACTTTATATTATTGGTAGCTTGCTTTTATCAGAAGTTAATATTAATAACCACACTCCACCAACCTAAAAACTGAGGCACTCGAAGCAATTCTACTGGTGGTGGTTCTGCAACTTGATATATTTTGTAGAGCTAGAAAAAAATTTACAAGCCATACAAATTATTTGACAGTACTATAATGAACCATTATGTTCATTATATTTATATGCTTTAGTCAAAATATGTCATAAAAGTGATGTATTAATAACAATGAAATAATTTCATGAATTTAACATCTAAAGCATTTATATTTTAAAGTTTAAATCTATTTCTTAATAAAAACTTACGTGAAATTAATTCACTGAAATTTGTATAGCCAAAAAGAAGCAAAAGTTTTTCGTGTTTTTTAAAATTACTCTAGGGTACCCATATATTTATCTACTTCACTGTAATTTTGTCATTGGTCCATGCATATAAAACCCTAATTTTTTTAGATAAAATAAAAAATGAGAAGAAGAAGAAGAATTACTGTAGTTTTTCTACTTATACATAGTGTGCTTATTATACATAAAATATGTATGCTTATTCTTCTTCTCCAGGATTAAAAATGTTTTACTTCATTCTAAACATCATTCACCTTTAGTAAAGATCTGTAAAATTTCATTCACCAGTGTTTTGTCTACTTCTGATTTTAGAATCCTTTTAAGTTTTCAGTACCTCAAATCTTTGAATAGCAATAAAAGAAAAAGAAATTGGTGTAAATATTCCTTTTCTTAAATATATGAATGTGAAGAGCAAAGTTCAGTGTGCAAACTTTGCTAAGTTTAATAGTCAAAAACATAACATTTATTTGAAAATGGTTTTCAAAATAATGTGTATTTTGCCATTATTTGCCAATAGGGGTAGCAACTCCAAAATGTAAACATATTAAGTGCAGTAGTGAAAGCTGAACTGAGTACTTGCACCATGAACATGGCCAGCAGATTCTTACTTTATCTCTCACAGGTTTTATCATAAATATAAATTCTATCACAAACAACTTACTTTTTCTGGTTGTAAATCAATATTTATTTTTGAAAGCATGCCATGTCAGCAGTAAATTTGAAAGAACATCAGTTAACTCTCTTAACATGGGCTCAGTCAATTTCACCGACCACGTGACCTCTTTGTACTCATTCAAAGTCTTTATAAATTTGATACTATTAACTTTTGATACAATGTGTATATTTTCATGAAACTTGGCAGTCTTTCAGTAAACATTGTAAGTCTTTCACATACAAAAAATCACATTTCTTAGTGAAGTATTTTTAATAAACTAAAAAAAAGATTTGTTCTTGAATGTATCAAGTATTTGTTTTGAACAGTCTGTGTGCAAAGTGATTTTCATGTTAAGATTAAAAATACTTTTCTTCATCTCCAAAACCTAAAATTTCATTTCTGTAATCTCCAAAACCTCTTAAATACATTTCAAATGTTTGTTTTCAGTAAACTTTATATTTTATTTGTTATTTTCTCTACTCTAACTCTATATGTAGGTGGTCAATTTGACCGACCTCGTAACCATAAAAAAAATTTAAATAAATCTAAATTACCCTTTTTTCTTTCTTGAATGAATTAAAATTAAACATGAAACTATATTCGTTTATCCTAAGGAAATTTGAACTCATAACAGTATACACCTATTTATAATTATATTTTATTATTTTTTGCCCTGTTGATCGTCCTTTGAACTGTGTCTAACTGCTATTCGCACTATTATAAGTTGCAAATCACTTGGGGAACATGCAGCACACATTATGCTATCAAATTACCTTACCCACAAGCTACTCTGAGCAGCTCACATACATGCCTCATGAAATATTTTTATCATATTATTATTATTATTTATTTTACCTAATCTAATCTAACCTTACCTAATCTACAGTGATCCTATTTTTACATTTTAGTTACTTTTATAATAATAAATAAAGAATAAACAAGAAAAAAGTATTTACTTGAGTATTCTTTTTTTTTGCTGTCAACTATCGATGACACTAAGCCCTACTTTTTTTATACTAATAGTAGTAGTGCATTAAATAATTTGTAATAAATTAAATAATGCACCAAAGAACATAGAATAATAACATGCAAAAAGCAGACAACTTCCTCTAACAATCATAATTTTTCTGGCTTTCTAACTATGTGACAAGAGCTGTTACAAAGTCATCCAATCTAGTTGTTAACTTTCCCATAGGAACAAAGCTTGTACTACTAGTGAAATTGACAATTATCTGTTCGGAAAACAATCTTATACAATATGTCATTTGATGGATGAAAACCTTGGCTTTCTATTGGTTACAGGTAATATATAATTAAATGTAAGAGATAACTATTAACAAATCCCAAGAGAGAGGATGTGACAGGTGGGTGTGTCAGGAGGGGGTCTGATTTTCTATTTGATAGCTCTGTAACCAAACAAAATTGAAGGCTATAAAAATTGTGGTTTGTCTGAGCAATGATGATTTTATAATGAGTAATTTACATTTCATGTTGTAGTTACTGAAGGGGTGGTGGATGAAATAGAGAAGATACCTGGAGAAAATGTGTCATGTGTGTCACATTAGGGGAATTCAGGATTTTTTAAAATACTGCCTTATAGAATTAAGAACTTAAAACTTATATACTATGCAAATATAGATTATTAGCAAACATTTTATGCTATATTAATTGGTATAACATAAACAAAAAGTAGTTTAATAAAATTTTGAATGTAAGATGCTAAAACTCTGTGTCTATGTGCAGTAAGGGATAACCGTGGCAATAGGATTAAGAAAAAGAAAAATCCCCCTCCTCCCCCTCATCTGGGTACTCTCATTCCTGAGTTCATTTCACATAGCTCAGCTTAGAACAAGAGTAATACAGTGTCACTGTTGTTTCTGGCTATTTTTCACACTTAAAGATAACACACTTTCTAATCCCATGTAATCTACTTGATAGTGTGTGTAATATATTGCAATATTCTGATTTGTAGACTACCTCCCAATATGAGTTGCTTCCCTTTAAACGTCTTGTTAAATAATAATGATCACAGTGTAAGTGTCTTGGGTTGATGTAACTGATAAAATTACCTGAAATCCATCCAAAAACACTTGAGCAAAAAATGAGCAAGAACCAAAATTCTGTTTTAGCTCAAAAAGAAGGTTGTCATGATATAAAAGACTGTTTAGTTTGGATATTATTGATCAATACGTTTTTGTGAGTGAATATATTTTTATTGTTTAGTTTTTGTTATAATAAAACGATTAGAGGAATTTGTGTTTAGAAGTCATTCATGTTGAGACTATCGAATGTCGTGTGCAATACATTGACATTGAGAATACATTTCTAAAAGGCGGGCAGACGATTAAGTGATAAACATATAAATAGTGTGAGACAAATGGAAAAACAGTAGACAGACAATAGCAGAAGAGAGTAAAGTTACAGGCAAGGAATAGTTTGGTGTGAAGTTAACTATTGTAGAAGTGATAGGCCTAATGATTTACATAGGCCTAAGGATTAATATGTTAAGAGTAAGACTAACAGTAGAAAAGGAGATAAGAATAATAACTTATTCCATCAAAGTGTGGTTCTAAAGTAATTGAATCAGCCTTAGTGCACTTTGACTAAAAGAACAGGGGATATTTTGAAAAAAGAAGACCAAACGACTTGGTAACTTGCAGCACAATTGTAAGTGAATCACACACAGAATACTAGTGTGCTAGTAGTAGAGATGATAGTTTAACTTATCAACTGAAATTCTAAAGTAATTGAATAAGTTTAAGTGGACTTTAACAAGAAGAAAAGAACTAAATATATAGTGTTTATGATATGCCTATAATCTCTATAGTGTGAAGAATTTGTTGTACATATGTTTAACTTGTTCCGAATATATATATATATATATATTATTTTGAAAACAAGTGAAGCGCGTGCTGTTAATTTATCATTGAATTTATCATCAATAAGTCACAGACATCTACTGTAGAAGAATCCTAAGCCCAACAACAACACAGTACGTATTTATACTATTAACAAGTATAAGTAAAAGCCTTTTATTTTGACAAATGGAGAAAAGAATTATATATCAAATTCTGACAAAGGTAATATAAAGCAACTTGACAATACTCACACTGCATCACGGCTGTAAAACTGAAATTACATTCAGCTTAGCTCTTAATTCACCACATTAAGTTTTGTTAAGTGATGATTCACAGGAGAATTAGGAGCCAAACAGCATATGAATAAAATGATAATGTTAATAATACCAAGTTGATTCATTTTGCTGTGTTTATGAGATATCGCCTATTGTTTGAACTAAAGCAGAATTTTGACTCTATTATTTTCCCTAATGCACTTTTGGATGGATTAAAATTTTAGTGTGATTTCATTTTTTACTGTTACTTTTGTATGGCTTTCTTTACCATTACTAAAACATTAAAGAAAGTTTTTGTTTTACTTTTTGTCAGATTGACTGACAGTATCACTAGTCCAAAATGGAGTACTTTTAGTGATCACTTTAATTGAAAGAGAGAACTGTTTCCTTCACATCCAACATGGGCTTTTATAAATAAGCATCATATTGAGTGAACTGTAATTCAATCAACATTTCTAAACCACCTACCACAGTAATATCAGCAGGATTAAGAGCATTTTTTGACAACATTGCAGAAAGAGCTTGACAAGCTCTGGGATTGGCTGCTGCTCCATTCAGTGCCATAGTAATTGGAGTTGCATCATGTCCACTACATATAAAAAAGTATATACCAGGAGAGAAGTATAACATTATTAAAAAATTCAATTTGCAGAAAAAACACTCATTTATGAAATGTAACACATTAATAAGAATATAGTTTTAGCTTCTCAGAAGCTTAATGTAGAAAAAAGAAAGAATTTTCTCCATTTCAAACAAAAAAACAAAGTTTTAGACAGAGAAAAAATAATAAAGAAATTAATACTTGTATAAAATGTAAACATTTGAATCATGTGTACTAAGTAAAAGCACTGGATATGTGCTAAGACCAATTTCATTTTTCATGGCAATGAGGTTAAAAAAATTTTTGTACCACTGTATAATTTCAAATATGCTTTATGCAATAACAGCCTTCAAACTTTAAGTTACCAAATAAGTAAAACTTCTTCACAGAAAAACATCCATGAGGATGAAACTTTAGTAATGCAATGTAAAGATCCAAATGGCAAATCCACCCAAAAAATTTCCTCATATTATCTGTTAGTATTTCTTGTTTGAAACAGTTCTCAAGCACTATAAGTAACCCTTACTAAAGAAATACTCAGGATAAACACTAGTGTACTGGTGTGAAATTATATTACAATAAGACATAATAATTTTTAACACATATTTCTTTACTGGTCTTATATGTGTTTCAGTAAGAACATAACAGCATCTCAGCAATATACATCTTGTGCTTTAAACCACTTCCAACAAGGTCTTTCATCAATACCAGAGCTCATCAGGTAAGCTGAGCGTGAAATACACCAAATAAATGTTACAAAACACCAATTCTATAAACATTTTAGTATTTTTACTTTAATTTTGATATGTAGGTGTGCACCTGACACTTGAAAATTAGCTGTTACTTCAAAAAATATCTTTATTGCATTACACTTACTTCTGCTGTGCATACTTGCAAATCTCTTGTGACAATCTTTTAATGTTGGAGCCTCCTTTGGGTTCCTGAGATAATTGATGTAACAAAGCCTGGCTGTACAAGTATGTGTGTTCTCCATGACAAACCATTTTCTGAAGCAAAAAATATTTGTACTGTTATTATTGTAAAATTAGCGTATTCAATAATAAAGCTGAATGTGTTACTACATCTGCTTCCATTCTCTTGAATCAATGTATTTGAGTTTTGGTTCTTAAGAATTTTACTGTTAACAAAGAATTGTAATTCATTTTTATTAAACATACAATGATTTTTTTCTATAAAATTCTTAATTACCTGTCTGCATCAGCAAACTCAAAACCCATGTTAAATTAGTTTGTTAAACTTGTTAAAAAAAAACTTCATGTACCATAAGGAACTGACCTAACAAAAACAAAATAAACACATATATAAACGTTTCCAATCACTTTGAAATGTAATGATTGGGGAAAAAGTAAAAACTGACAATGATTTTAGGTTAGGTGAAAGTACCGATAACAGAATTAAAAATTAACTGACTGTAAATTCTGGGAGGATTTTCTCCATTTCTTCTTCTCCACCTTCAAGAGAGTTAGAGATGGATGTCTTTAGGATACGAGAGAAAACCTCAAGCTGCTGAGAAGCTGTGGAGATACTTGTGATCTCAGCTTGAAATCCTGCATCAGAAATAAGCTGTACGAAGAAATACTAAATTAATGATCTGCAGTATATCATAATTATAATTTCTTTAAAGCTATATTCAAAAAAACAAAAAGCCTAGTACAGCAAACATACGAAAACAAAATAAAAGACAAAGGTTTTCAAGTGAAAAAAACATTTGTGTAGAATATAAGTTCAGTTTCATTGATTATTTCAACTAAAGTGTCTCTTAAATGTGCATGTTTGATTTTTTTTTTTTTCCGTCTAAAACACAAATTTCTTGGAAGCATTTTCTAGTGCTTAGTAATAGACTGATGAATGTGGGTTAACAACAACACATGCAAATTGTGTGATTACACTCTAAGCTATCTCCATACGTTAATAGATTTATTTTTCCCACACTGGAATAGTTTTTTAACAATTTCTTTAGTTACCGTAGTGATGTGTATTTAGAATTTTTAGTGCCAGTTTCTCAGGATACATTAAGAATATCTGATGACAACAGAAAGATGGCTTTTTCTTTCACGAGTCACAAAAAATAACAACACTTACTTTAATGGTGAAATTTAGCATCAGACAATCAGGATAGTCTTCAGCTAACTTATAAATTAACGACCTCCAAGTTGGATGTTCTATCATTTCCGTTAACCAGGCAGGAGTCTAAATAAATGTTTAGAACATAAACAATAAATAGTTTGAATGCTCCAATAAATAAAGGATTGGTCATTCATAAGTAAGTCTTAACAATTCAAACAAAACATTTTTAGACTGATCAATTTAAATAGACTGCCAAACACTAAAGTACGAAAATCTTAGTTTTAACATTTTCAGGCAAAGATCAATACAGTAAGTACCATTTCAGTGGTTAGTTCAACTAATGATTCCTGAAAATAAGAAAAAAGAAAACTAATGTTTTAAGTTACTGATTATTAAACATAATAGAAATATTGAGCATCATAAGTAAAAAAATGGATCATAAGATTAGTCTAATAAGATTAATTAAGACTTTCTTTTGAGCTGATACTAATAAATCATTTAATAAAGGTAACACCAAAACTATGAGAATGGTTTAATAGCAACTATATGATTTAAGTTTCAGTATTACATTCATTGGGATGCTTCACATTTCAATGTTAAGTAACATATAAATACAACTAGCAATAGCAATGGATTCATGATGCAGAAACTGAAGTCTAATAGTGAGGATGAAGACGGTTGATAAAAAATAAAACATTTTATTTATAAGGTTCGAACATTTCGGAATATATTCATTTCATCTTCAGGAAAATCCGAAAATCGTGTTACAAAGATGATTATTAACTAAAATTATAATATAATATCATTATTACTAATTTACCAGTTCTCGTAATAACTAAGCAAACTACTGATTAGAATATTATCTTATAATTTTAGTTAATAATCATCTTTGCAACATGATTTTCAGTTTTGCCAAAAGATGGAATGAGTATATTCCAAGACGTTCAAATCTTGTAAGTAAAATGTTGTGTGTTTTATGAACTGTTTCATCTTCATTATTAAACATATATATACGATATCTAAAAAAATGTTACAAGAATTATACAGTCTCTTATTTCATCTTATTAGGAGTGAGAAGAACAGTTAAAGTTTAAAAACAATTAAAAAGAAGCTGATAATTTAATAATCTAAATACATTGTACATAGTGTTCTTTATAGCTCTTAGTATAAGAAAATACATTCAATGAATAGCCAACAAACAAATTTAACTGAACAGTAAGACAAGTCATGTGAAATAGAATGAAATACAAATGAGTTTAATACATTTTGTGTAGTCTATACATTGTTTTAACATCAGAAGTTGTGCCAGTCTTTAAAAAATTGCAATTTTAAAAAGCCCCTTCTAAAAATCTGCACCATCAACCATAAGGCTTACTTTTTTTTCACATTTTATCAAAATAGTTAACTTATAATGTAGTATTATTTTAGATTAACTAAGTTAACATGCAAACAATAATACCTCACATACAGTGTCTAAAGCCTAACACCTAAACACCATAAGCATGTACAATGGTATATGAGATGATGGATATCTCAAAGCTATACATTAAGCTTGTGTACTGTTGAACATTTAGAAACAACGAAAGATTTATTCATTTACCAGTCAATAATACTGTGTACACTTTTCAGAAGTTTTATTTCAGCAATATAATATTATTTTATATGTTCATAAGTGTGTTTGTAACAATGTTTGTGGTGTATCTATAACCATGCAGTTGCTCAAGCACTTTGTACTCAACCAAAGGTAATAAACAATCATAATCCACTGTATTTATTAGGCAATATGGTAATTGGTGAAAGTAAAAAACCTAGCATTTTGGACATTTTTCAAGTAGCCTAAATTCAAGGTCAAATAACTTAAAAATTAGAATAATGTCAATTTATTTTGTAAAATAAAACTCTGGATAATTATAACTTAATCTTAAAAAGTTGAAAAAACATTAGGGAATGAATAAAACTAGAAAGTTATTCATATAATATTGTTTCAAAAACACTGTTTATATTCTCCATGTTAACTACTGTAACATTCTATTCTTACAATTATTATGTGATAAGTGTAAACTTTTTAAAAATGAGCTATGTAACACTGTAACCTTTGTTGTTGTTTTTTTTAAAGAGGATGCTTGGAGTAGTGGAGTGTTTTTCAGGTTGTATTACATAAACATAATACATAATTTGAACCAGTGGGTTTTATTACTTCTGTGTTTTAGAAACATTGTGATGCTTGTTTTTTTGTATTTTATTAAATTTTCCTTCACATATAATGCAGAATTATTTAATTAGATCTTTTGAGATGAGTCACAGGTGAAAGGCCACGTCATCTTGTTTGTTGACTTGCACTCAAAACTTTATTGAACTACTATTTCATGACTTTATGTCAATAAGTTTGGTATGAAACTGTAGATTATAATTCGAATTTTAGAACTATACCTTACTCAATTTGTTAATTTAAAAGTAAATATTATAAAAACACAGATAAACATTGA